GTGGACTGGGGCCATGACATGATTTGCCATCCAGGAGTCATCCAGCCCGCGATACAAAAGGGCGAGTGGATCATGGTCGTCGCAGTCCAGGGTGCAGGATGGGTGTTAATCCCTCGCGAGCCGAAGTCCACTTTCCTCCACCTTGAGAGGATTTCGGTCCTCCAAAAAGTGAGGGCCGAAAATGACACGTTTGCACCCGATGACTTGTCCGTCGTTTCCACAGTCGGGCGACTATTCAACGAGCTTTAGGACAAGTGTTGGTAGGAACTAACAGAGGACTACTACAAGCTCAACACGAGCTTATCAAAGGGCATGGTGGACTGGAAAGTGGCCCCTCCCAGGGGGAGGCACGGGACTTCGGGGGGGGGGGGCACCAGGCGATGGAGGGGACAGGGGTGGCAGTGCGGGGGGTGGCAAAGGAGTCCCACCTAGTGAGGAGGGCGGGTCTTACCGTGGCACCACAACACCGGGAGGCAGCGGTGGTGTGGCGGGTTTTGCTGTTGATCGGCATCTGTCTACTGGCCCCGGGCCGGAGCATGCGAAACAGTCCGCCGACCTCTTGACTTCATTCGTCGGCTCAGCGAGGGAGACGATGGTAGCCTTGGTTGCTCTCAGTAGCCGCTCGGGTGGAACGTTAACGTCCGCCAGGGTCCGAATTACGTCAGTTGAGGTGCCGCCACGGCGGTCCGCCGTGCAGAGCTGGTCAGGGGTGGGGGAGCCAAGCCAGGATCCCACAATTGGCAGTGGTGCGGTGAGGGACGGGAATGCGTCGCTTGAGCGGGACCGGCGACCACTGGGATTAAAGCAAGAGGCTACAATTGCACGGTTCGACGACACAGAGAAGACGAAGTCTGCCGAGATCCGAACTTCTTCAGGCAGGGGGGGTCGACTAGGGATTGTCGTGCCGTCGGCAGGGGCAGCATGCACGGAGACAAAAGGGCGGCCGTTGGGATTCAACACGGGTTCCGAAGAAGGGGCTAAATTGCATGGAAGGGAAGGAGAGGAGGAAATGGAGGAAGGAAAGGAAGGGGAAGAAGAGGAGGAAGGAGAGGAAGGGGGAGAAATTGAGCTGATTGAATTGCTTGAAGGAAGAGAGGGTGCCGAAGGGGACGTGGGTACTGGACACGACGAAGGGGAGGACAGTGAGGACGATGCCGGATCTGTAGAGTCGTCTGACGAGTTCGAACAACTGTACGAAGAGCATCACGAGGATGATGTCGACGACGATGCCACGACAATGGAGATGGAAACACAGGTGGTTAGCAGCCTTTCTGCAGAGCTTGAAGACTATGAGGCCCAACCACTCACGTCTACCGTCGATCTGCAACACCGGTTCGACGAGGTTTCCGTTGCTATGAGCCCATCTAAAGCAAGTCGCCGTATAAGTTTCGAAGAAGTTATCGACGGTATCCTCGGCGACCAGCACGTGTCCGCGCATCCATCCACAATGCCTGACGTCGATGACACTAGCAACGTCAAACCTTTTGTGGCAACTGCTGTCGCTTTCTCGTCGCCGAACTCTCCAGTGTTGCCGGCTACCCTCGCTGGCGGAGGGGAAGGTGAGGTAAGGGAACTGCAACATGTCACGTCCCCAAAAACATCTAGGGTCGACACTCAAGCTCTCGACGTGCTCGCTTTACCCACGCCAACTTCACCGACGAAGGAGCAGAGAGAAAAATCGATTGGTAAGCTGTGAAGAACGCCACAGTGTCTGCACGCCCAGGCTTCCGAAAATGAGAGTGCGGCTTCCTTCGTAGTCCGGATGTCGGCGGACTACAATCCGCGCCATACACACGAGGATTGTCCACACTATCTGTCGATACGGAAAGTTCCGGATGCCGACATACTACAGCCACCAGTCCTTCCAACTACATCTCATCGGCCTTTCTGTGAGTCAGCCAGGTTGGTGGTCGCAGGCAGGGAAGACTTCAACGAAAACATAACACTCCATCAAAGGAAGGATCTATCCTTCTACGAAGTTTGTTTTTATTGAAGCATTCCCTCACAATAGTCTGCCCGGCTAAAAACCTGGCCAACTAAATAGAATAACGTTTTTTTCTTCTCGAAAAGAGTAGTGGTTTAAGTCACTTCGGATCCGCACTTCCTATGTCGATGCGTAATGTGGTTAGTCTCTGTGGGAAAAATTCCGCCGAAATCCGAACTTCGGGAATGTTGGTCTTCCGCTTCTGTGACTTGTGCTGGTTTTCCTTTGTGAAGAGCGGGGGTATCAAGCTCGAATGTGCTAGTCGTTTTGTTTTCCTGCCGCACACACGCACCTCGGTGCTCATGGCCATACAAAATCAGGGTTCTATAATTGGAGAGGTCTTGCGTCTTTACGATTATGTGGTTGTCACATTGTCACTTTCGTGGATTCATGTTGGGAAACGTGTATTCATTTTCCGTTCTGTCCTTTTTCTGTTGTACAGGGGTGGGGTCATCTCGAACACGGAGGTCCTCGAAGTATCTGGAATACATATTGCAGAAATTCCCTGGGTTGACGACAAAACATAAGGATATGTTGAAGGCATCAGAGGTTGATGTGGAGATCGGAAGGAAGGAGCATGTCATTGCCATTGACGAATGTCTTTTCGTTCTGGTCCTAGAGAAAGGGACATATCCACGATCTGTCAGTAGGGGTCAGGCCATGTATGAGAAATACCTAGCAACCCATCGTGCAATGGGGGACAATGCTTAGAACTCTGTTTCTCACTACCCCACGTGTCCTTTGCTCAATGTTGTGCAGCCTGAGTCACCATACGTGGAACATGAGGGGAAAGATTCGTTGCAGTGACTGCGCCTCGAAGCTCGCGGGTTTTGGACGGCATTAAACGAGGCTTGGTGCCACCTCACATCGTTCTCTCTATCCTGACCGATGATCAATTGCGAACTGCAGCAAAAGATCTCCTCACCCTTTTGTATATCAACGGCAGGGTGAATGATGAGGTGGTCAATTTCTATATTGCGCTATTGGAACAACTATTTCATAAAACGGACATTTTTTATTTTTTTTACGAAATTGAAAATCCAAACTGCAGCCAAAATTTGATGAAATTTTGGCTACAGTTTGGATTTTCAATTTCGTAAAAAAAATAAAAAATGTCCGTTTTGACGAAATCGCTGTTTGGAGTCGACCGCATGTGCGTCACGTGACATCCGGTCAGGCCTTCAAGTCTTCAACTTTAATTCGTTCTTCTTCAGTAAATTGCAACTTCAAGGACACGGTGGGGTGGAAAGTTGGGCTAAAAACATAAATCTGCTTCAATACGATATTATCTCTGTTCCTGTCCACAAAGATAATGATCACTAGATCCTCCTTCCCGTCAACTTGAGAGATAATGTTCTCGAAATTTTCGATTCGTTTGCTCACGTTGTAGCTAATTCGGCTTTTTACAATAGTGCTTTCAAGTTGATTGTACAATATTTGGAACGTCAAACGTTAAATAGGCGGTCGGGTAGGAGTTGGAAATCGATAGTAGGAAATGTTGTGGTGGAAGGAGCTCCAAGACAAGTGGATGAAGCTAGTTGCGGTGTGTTCATGTTGATGTTTGCGACACTGTTGCAACCTGCGTAGCATGGCGAACGTGTTCGCGCCCCTTCATGTCCGCGCGAGCAGAAACAGCTTGCGAACATTTTTTTTTTTCGTTAAAAATATATATATATTCGGTTTTTTATTTTTAACTCATGATTGGCTACGAATTTGAACATGACTGCAAGGCAAAAGTTTCTTGTATTGTTATTTTACATAACATATATTTGTTTCAGGTTTTTCTGAGAACCTTTTTTGTTTTTAAATAATTTTTATTTTCGCGTTCGGAGGGTTTTGGACTCTTGTTCGCGTTCGGGCGAACATGTTCGCGTTTGCCTCCGAACGCGAACACGGTGCTACGTAGGTTGCAACGTGGTGATCAACCACCTTTCAGGTCCTCTTGTAAAGATATCCCACTTATTAGACGACCATTGACATCATTTTGTGGATGCATGACAAATCTCAGCGAGTATGTGAGTGTGCGGTTCATTATGTAAAGCTCACTAGCATCATGTCTCTTGCATGTACATAGAATCACATGCCTTGTGAGCACCTGCATTACATGTAACCAACAACTTTGTTTTCGTACCCAAACATTTTGTGCATGACCATTTAAAGTGCGGATTTCGATCGAAAATAAGTAAAATTTAAAGTTCTTGTGTAATATGACAGGTGTTGTCGCACAAAACGAACTTGTATGTCAAAATTAATTGGTTGTTACAATACACCTTGCTCATCACAATTGTAAACAAGTATGGTCCTCGGCACACTTCCTCATATCGAGCGAGGTGATGGGCGTGCCTATCATTACACTAAGTATTCTAAAAAAGTCCGGATCTCATCAACATCCAAACAATCGTCTCGGGCGAGATGATGGTTATGATTGCACAACTTAGAGATAACCTAGTAAAGAAATATATTATCCAATAAGGATTGAATCATGACACCTTGCTCATCACATTTATAAACTTTACGTTTAACAAGTACGGATCTCAGCATAGTTCCGCACAGGGTCCAAAATGGGCGTGCCTATCGTTACATTAAGTCTTCTAAACAAGTCCGAATCTCATCGAACATCCAAACATATGTCTCAGGAGAGAGGATGGATCTGCATGTACAAAGTTCAATCACGACACCTTGCTCATCTTATTTACAAAGTTCAACAAGTATGGATCTCAACGCATTTCCGCATTTAGGGCAAGTGGATGGGCGTGCCTACGTTTCTTAGGCTGTAGCCAAAAATGAATTCATTAGAAAGAGGATACAATATAATGTCATATTTTAATGGATAACATGTTGCTCGTTCCCCTACTCTCTAGGATCAATGTCAACGGGAACATGCTTTCCGCCAGCCACGTATCTGCGTATCTATCTGGTGTCCTCACACTCTCATCTAAGCGTACGCGAGAGGGATATCAAACCCTAGAGCTCTCTTTCTAGGCTTGACGAGCCTCTTTGCCTTGTAAGAATCAACGTTTCGTTGTAATAGATACGCCCACCACACGCTTGAATCACTCCTCATCTGCCCATTTGTTTCACAGATCGGTCCTCGCAGCTCTCACTCTGATTATCAACTCCACAATCTCACGCCACTTTGACCTAGACAAGTTCCTCCCTATGATCGGGGGAACTGGAATCTCGTCAAATACTTCAATATCTGCGCTCCAGCGAACTGTCTTCCCTTCTGCCTCTAGGCGTTCCTTCTCAGCTTGTACCAACTTAGCCGCTCTCTTTCAACTGCTCCTATATGGATACCCTCCTGTCCGTCTCCTGGGCAGGTAAACCCGCACGTCGTACTCATCTAAATCGATGATGAGGTAGGTGAGGACGTATAGGCGCTCATGTTCTATACTGCCTTTCTGAACATACTCATACTTAATGAGTTCGTACGACAGTATCTCCTTCCTAGTCCTCTCGTTCAGGTTTCATATCTTTCCATCAATCTCCTTTCTAGTTGGTCCTCGTTTCGCGGATGACCTACGCCTCCAACATACCTGTCTAAGGAAGACGATATGCTTGCCCTTCTAGATTCGCCTCTCCTACCTCCATCCGTCTCATACTCTGTAAACCTAACGCACCGCGCGTATCTAGGCCCGAAGGTCGACCAGTATCCTCAGAAAGTAAATCAAACCTGCATCTGTGGCGTACTCCTCGCCAGCCTCATCTACCTCCTCGTCCGATTGGGCGTCCTCCTCACTGGAGTCTACCTAGTCAGGCTCCCATGCCTCCTCATCATCGAGGTCGACCTCGTCAATCGTGCGGTACCCCGGTGCGCCTATAATCCCGTAGTATCTCGTCAACTGATAGGGGGCTATCAGAGCCTTGCTCCCCCACCACGAGCCTCAATGCTCCATGAAGAGCCGGTCTATCGACGTGATATACTCATGTCCGGCCCGGAGCTCAATGTCCAACAATTCCCACACGTAGGGTGGCGGCGGATGCCTCCATTCGTAGCCCTCGTTTTTCCAGCCTCCTGGTGAGCTAGGAGCAATGGACTGGATTAGCTTTATGAGCCGGATCCGCTCGTCTCCTCAGCGGGCCCCTGCAGTCACCAGGCAGTAGTAGATGTAATCATTGTAATGGGAGTCAAGATCTCCCCTCGAAAAATGCTCGAGCTCCCTCGTGGTGAGATAGGCCTTAACCAAACCTCTTATCCCGCCGAACACCTCGTCAACTACAAACGAGGGGATGGTCGCCCTATATCTGCAGCTAGAGTGTGGGAAAAATGTGTCCCAGACTTCTTGGAGCTCCCCTGTAAGTATACGGGGAGGGTACCTGTGGATCCATCCTAACGCGTCCCGCTCCTCCTCGAGCCGGAAAACCTCTATCTCCTCCTGAAGGTATCGGTCTGCCGAGCCGATAATCCCATAGGCTCCCCACGTCACAAGAGTCAGAGCGACCTTCTTGGCCACTTCTGGACTTAGATACAGGTATGCCTTAACCTCCCCGTAAGCAATCTGTCCCGGACGTCGGCCGTAAGGTCCTTAGCTGCTCTTTAGCTCCCAGTACATCCAGACTTAGGCGCCATGCTATAGGAGGATCGATCTTCACTTGTACCGGTCGTCGTGCCAGTCAGTGGGTCGAGAGGGTAGGGTGAATTTGACCAGATCTCCCTCTACGATCTCAGGAGGATCATTCCCCCAGCATCGGTCCACCACGTACTCCTCTACCGCCAAAGGTGGCCACATCCGTCTACCTGCGCTTTCTACGCCTGTAGAGAGTAAGAGAGGGCAGAAAAGAGGTCTAAAAACTCGATATTATGGAAACATTTTGGCAACATCTACCCTCCCCCCCGTTGGGATCGGGTGCGGGACAATGTCCTTATACGAAAGCTGCCTACCAAGGCACCAAGAAAGGACTAAGCTAATCTAGATAGGAAGGGTGTCGAACTCTGGGCTCGAACTAAGCCTACACACATTTCTCTCCAGTTTTTTCGAATACAGGGCGGGTGCTCTATTCGAGGTAATTCGATCTACTTGACCCTCGAACACGCTTCTGACCAGCGGAACTCGTTCCGTAGTCAGAAACTCAAAATATAATTAGTAGATACTTTATCACTAATTTTTTAAGCCACTTTGATTTTTAAGAAATTTTAAGAATTTTAATTAATAAAAAATCTGAATAAACAAGGAGTAAGCATTGCTTCAACCCCAGTATCTAGGGAAAGTAGACCCAACTCCACAAGGAAGCTCAAGGCAAGCCCCAACTTTTTTTTGTCTTTTACTTCGATTTATTTTTAAATTATTCGTAATTAATTATCAAAAATAAGATTTAATTACAAAAAATTATTTCGGTTCTTTGGAATGGGAAGACAATCTTCGCCTAAAAACAAATGCGCCCACTCAACCTTCTTCATCCTTTTTCAGCAAATTTTCTTGTATTTTATAAATATTAATTGAAAAAAATCAGAATTGGTTTGAATAACTCATTTTCTTATTTTATTTTTATTAAAGGTTGAATTATATTTAAGTCTGCCAACTTTTAAGACTTATGGTTGCAGAAAATTATTTAAAGAAATTTTTAAAATTTCGGCTGCACGTCGCCTTCCCCCGTTGGGATGGGGTTCGGGACGAGTCCCTCGAACAAGGCTATCAGAAGGAAAAATCGAGTAAAATAAATAAAAAATATATAATTGATTTTTAATAAAATTTTATATATTTATTTTAATTTTTATCAATTTTATTTATAAAAAAAACAAATTAATTTGAAGAAATTTCTACAAATTTCAGCAACACTTTCCCTCCCCCCCCCGTGGGGATGGGGTTCGGGACGAGTCCCTTGATTCGCTGCTGAACGAAAAAAAAATGAAGTAAAATAGATGAAAGGCAAAAAAAAAACAATTTTAATTCGTTTTTAAATATTTATTTTGATTAATTTTATTAGCAAAAGTTTGATTGATTCCCTTATCTTCCGCACGTATACCCCATGCGAAGGAAGCCCAAATCTCCTCGATTGTCACCACTCGCAAGATTAAAGGGGTTAATATAAAATTTAATTCCCAATTTAATCTTATTTATTTACTCTTGTTTTAGGATTTCTCTTAATTAGGGTTTTTCCCAATTAGGGTTTAGGTTTTTGCGCGCAACGGCACGCACACCGTGAATCCCTGGATTACTGTGAAACGTTTTAGGTGGACTCCTCTTGGTTAAAGTAAAAAGTTATTGGATTACATTCTTTTATTTTTGTTTCT